CCAGATCACCTATTTTTTGCATGGGGCTCCAGGTCTTTGGATCTCAGTCACCTTATCTGTAAAATTGTGGGTTTCACACAGCAGTCTATAAGGTGTCTAATAGTCAACACAACAAGATTGCCTTAAGGAAACCCATGAGTTCTTCCTCCATGAGTCCCTCATCCCCCACCTCCTGTGTCCTTAGAATGTGGTAAAGTGAAAAAAAAACCTGTTTCTAGCTCTCCCTTTGCCTCTAATACAAGTGTGATCTTGGGATCCTTTCTCTCTTTCGTTTAAGCACTGTACCTAAAAACTATTAGAGACACTTCAACTGGTTGCCTCCCACACGTGCCCCAACAGGGGTCAGGGATGGAGCCTGCAACCAAGGTACATGCCCTTGGCTGGAATTGAACCCAGGACCCTTCAGTCTGCAGGCCGAGGCTCTAACCACTGAGCAAAACAGTCTAGGCCAAGATTATTTTTCTTAAAACAAAGACTGATTCAGTTAACTTTATTTGTACTTACTGTGTGCCAAGCATGGTGCTCACCTGTCTCCATAAAAGACCTAATTTCACAGAAACTCAGATACTAGGAAAATGGCTTTGATCTTTAGTGGCCTGAGGCGCCGTCAATCCAAGGAAGGCTGCAGTAGGCACTGAGCACCACCACTATTCTTCCTCCTACACCTGTTGACTTTTATGTCCTTGGACTATTATGTCCCTTGTCAAAACAGATCAAAATGTGAACCCACGCCCTGGCCTGTTTGGTTCGGTGGTTGGAATGTCAGCCTCTGGACTGAAGGGTCCCAGGTTCAATTTCGGCCAAGGGCATGTGCGTAGGTCACAGGCTCCATCCCTGTTCCATCCCCGCCCTGGTTGGGGCACGTGCAGGAGGCAACCAATGGATGTGTCTCTCTCACATCAATGTTTCTTTCTCTTTCTCTCCCATTCTCTCCCTTCTCCCTCTCTCTCTCTCTCTCTCTCTCTCTCTCTCTCTTCTACTCTCTCTGAAAAGCAATAGAAAAAATATCCTCGGTTGACAATATTTTGATCGTCTCCTCAGCCATTAAAATTTCATCACATTATTTTTAATGTCTGCATACTGCTTCAATGAATATTTTGTTTAAAGATATTTGTCCAAAAGGATCTCCTTAGACTATATCCCTAAACGTGAAATTATTTGGAACATTTTTAAGGTTCTAAATAAAGTCGCCAAACTATTTTTCCAGAAAGGTCAATCAATTTACATTCCCACTAGAAGTATAAGTGAGCTCCTAGCCCACAATACCTTCACTACAGGAATAATGGTTTAAGGAAGGTCTTTTACTTTTTAACAAGATTAAGCAACTTTACAGAAAAATAAACTTAAGAATGTTAAAACTATGAAATGTCTCATCATGTCAGACTCTTCTGTTATTTAGTACCCATGGGATTCTTACATAATTGTAATTTCTGAGTCTATGCTACTTTGGGTTCTGCCTTTTTCACTGCAAAGTATTTCCTACCTACAATACAGTTCACATCCTGGTTCTCTTTAATCCCTCTGTAATTCCTCAGTATGCTAACATCTCCCAGTGAGCTTGATGATTTTCTTATTGTCAGGAATTAGTCCTTTCTAGTTTTTGCTATTAAGTTTGCTACAAACATCTTTGCAGTCTCCTGACCCCTACTTTCCCAAGGGTGAAATTACTTGATCAAAGAGTACAAATAATTTTGTAGCTCTTGTTACACACTGTTGAGTTGCTGGGCAAGGTTTTTTTAGTTTAGTTTAGTTTTTTAAGGAAAGTTGGCTGTACAGAGGAACAGCTGCATGAACCATTTTTCCTGAGTAAGGTATAGCGGCCTTGCAGCTTAATTGGAAGCCAGGTCACATGAGCTTCCCCACAGGCACTTGGGAAGTCCCTTCTCCAATTTTCTTATCTATAAAGTGAAGGATCTGGATTGAATGGATTAAAGTCCTTTACCAGAAATCTAGCCATATTTCTCCCAGTCTGTTCTATATCACCCCGACTCTTAGGGGCTCAGACTTAGTTTAGTGCATGGGATAGGCTCTGCTTCCTTTCCCTTGTCTTCAGAGTCCCATCAAAGTGCCCCAATGCTAGTGTAATCAGAGGAGACACAGCAGAGTATAGGGGTCAGAGCACAAGAGCACAGGCCAGTTCTAATCAGCCTGCCACTCACTAGCTGTGTGACAAAATACCCTCTCAGTGGCTCAGTCTCCCTCTGTAAGTGAGGTTAACAATAGTTCCTACCTTATAGGGTTGCCACGAGAATTAAATGTGTTAATGTTTGCAAAACACTAAGAATAGCTGCCTGGCACTAAAATGTTTGTTGAATAAATGAAATGTAGCCCATAAACTCTGGTTCTCCTCATATTGCAACAGCTACTTGGCTGGTGCCCCCAGCCTCTGGGTGCTTTCCTCCTGCTTCCTAAAGCCCAGAAGGCTGAGCCCCAGACCTCTAGACTTAAAGGCCTCCTACAGTCCAGCTGCCTCCAGGATGGAGTAGATACCTCAAGCTTGAAGACCTAGGCTTTTCACACGGGACTTTCTAGAAGTCCCCCTCACTTCTTTTTATTTAAGGATGCCAGTTGATTTAAAAACAACAAAAATAAAAACCAACAAAAGAGGCAAACAGGATTACAAAAATTGAGGGGCATTTTAAATGTTATATGAGCATTAAAAGCAGTATTGGCAAAGTATTAACACTTGCCCCCACCACCACCCAATAGAC